TATAGACTCAATAATTTCAAATGACTTGTCTTCATTTGTGCTGATTCTTTCTTTTGCCTATTCAAGGCTGCTGTTGAATCTCCAGTGAAATTTTCAATTCAGTTGTAATTTTCTGCTGCAAATCTCTGTTTGGTTCTTTTTTATATTTTCTATCACTTTGCTTATATTTTTCACTTTCTTCATACATCATTTTCCATATTTCCTTTAGTTATTTTTGTTTCCTTTAGTTATTTGAGCATATATTTTTAAAATATTTATTTATTATTTGAGAGAGAGAGAGAGAGAGTGTGCATGGGGGTGGGGAGAGGGAGAGGGACAGAGAGATTCTGAAGCAGACTCCCTGCTGAGTGTGGAGCCAGGTGTGGGACTCGAGCCCATGACCCTGATATCATGACTGGAACCGAAATCAAGAGTTGTATGCTTAACTGACTTGAGCCACCCAGGCACCCTTCTTTCAGCATATTTAAGACAATTATTTTAAAATCTTTGTCTAATAAATTTAATAGTGTTTCTTCAGGAACAGTTTCTGATTTATATTGTACTTTGAGTAGGCTATATTTTCCCATTTTATTGTATTCCTTGTGGTATTTTATCGAAAATTGGGCACTTGAAACCCCAGCCATCTCCCCAGTCTTTGTAAACCTGCTCTATGCAGTTGAAGATCTTTCCTAATTAGCACAGCATGTTCTAATTCTTGGGATCAGTCCAGAATAAAGGCTGAAGGTCTTGTCAGGTACGTTTTGGGCCTGCCTTTTCCTTGGGTCTGTCTGTGTGTGTGTGTGTGTGCATTTTTCCAATTCCTAAGTATATTTGGATAATTTTGTCTTAATTTCCCTGGGTCTCAGCCCTGCTTCTCAGGGCCCTAACTATTGCATTATAATCATCTACCAGTAATCTCTTGTCTCAGTCATCTTCAGGTTTGTGATCATCCAATGATGTTCAGCCCACTGCTTCCATGGCTTTTTCTAGTCTGAGATGTAAATTAAGTGATGTGGAGATGAATCTCTCTAGAAGCTCCAAGAGAGATTAAAATACTACGATTAGGTCTGCTCTGCTCTCTGTATGGTCCAAGGAAGTTAACTAAGGAACAGGCCTCCACTTCCCCTAAACCACAATGTATTGGGAGGAGGAGGACCAAGGGCAAGTAAAAACACCATAAAATTTCCTACCATTTTTAACATGGCTTTTTCAGGTTAGAACTTGATTTTGCTGTAGATCTTTGACTGATTTCCAGAGATATTGTAGTTATTTTAGCCAGTCTAGTTGTTTTTAAAATATTTCTGTGTGGGAATGGGGAGTTGGAACTTCCTACTCTGCGCATACTGTTGATTGACTATTCCTATAGCTTAGATTCTTGAAACGTGTTTTTACTGAGGATACAATCTTTGGACTTCTCTATCTTCTTTTGAATTTCTTGACAGTATTGTTTCACTATCACTTGGTTTTCACGTTCTACATCCTTGTCTCCTTTCCTTTGAATACAATTGGTCTTTTTATCTGGAAGATTAGTGATTTCTATTATCTCCCTGTTACCTTTATTTTTAATTCTAATAGTTACAAAATTATGCTTCAAAATTCATCATTTGGAGTCATTTTAACAATATGTAAGTGCACCCTTTGAAAACATTGATTCAAGCCATCTTTGAATTCCAGAAAATTTTCTTTAATTATAATTCTAAACATTAGTTCAGTTTTATACTTGTGATTTCTTCTTCAGACAGTCCAATGATACAGGCATACCCCAGAGATAATGAAGATTTGGTCCCAGACCACTGCAATAAAACAAATATAACAATAAAGTGAGTTAAATAAATGTTTTGGTTTCCCATGCATATAAAAAGTTATGTTTATACTGTAGTACACTGTACACTGTAGTCTATTAAGCATGTAACAGCATTATGTCTAAAAAATGTACATATGCACATTAAATAAAAGTATTAATTAAAAAATACTTCATTGCTTAAAATTGTGTTAACCATCATCTCAGTTTTTTGCTGGTGTAGGACCTTGCTTTGATGTTGATGGCTGCTGACTAATGAGGGTGGTTGTTGCTGAAGGCTGGAGTGGCTGTGGCAATTTCTTAAAATAAGACAACAGTGAATTTTGCCACATTGACTGACTCTTCCTTTCTTACCATGCTATGTTGTTTGATAGCATTCTACCCATAGTAGAACCTCTTGCAAAACTGAAGCAAATCCTCTCATACTTTGCTGCTGCTTTATGAACTAAGTTTATGTAATATTCCAAATCCTTTGTTGCCATTTCAACAACCTTCAGAGCATCTATACCAGGAGTAGTTTCCATCTTAAAAAGGCACTTTCTTTGCTCACTCATAAGAAGCAACTCCTCATCTGTTCATGTTTTCTCATGAGATTGCAGCAATTCAGTCCCATCTTCAGGATCCACTTCTCATTCTACTTTTCTTGTTATTTCTACCACATTTCCAGTTACTTCCTCCATTGAAGTCTTGAACCCCTCAAAGTCATCCATGAGGGTTAGAATCACCTTCTTCCAAACTTCCATTAATGTTGATAGTTTGACCTCTTCCTAATAGCATCTAGAAGAGTGAATCTTCTTCAGAAAGTTTTCAACGTACTTTGCCTAGATCTATCACAGGTATCACTATCTATAGCAGCTACAGCCTTACAAAATGTATTTCTTAAATAATGACTTGAAAGTTGAAGTAATTCTTTGATCCATGGGCTGCAGAATAGATGCTGTGTTAGCAGGCTTGAAAACAACATTAATATCATTGTATATCTTTATCAGTGCTTTTGGGTGACTAGGTACATTGTTAAGAGCAGTGATATTTTTTGAAAGGATCTTTTTTTTTTCCTTGAGCAGTAGTCTCAACAGTGGGCTAAAAATATTTAGTAAACCATGTTGTAAACATATGTACTATCATCAGGCTTTGTTGTTGCATTTATAGAGTATAGGCAGAAGAGACTTAGCGAAATTTTCAAGGGCCCAAGAATTTCTGGAATGGTAAATGATCATTGGCTTCAACTTAGTAGTCACCGGCTGCATTAGCCCCTAACAAGAGAGCCTGATCTTTGAAGTTCTGAAGCCAGGCATTAACTTCTCTCTAGCTCTGACAGTCTTAGATGGCATCTTCTTCCAATACAAGGCTGTTTCACCTACATTGAAAATCTGTTTAGTGTAGTTACCTTTGTTAATTATCTTAGCTAGATCCTCTGGATAACTTGCTGCAGCTTCTACATGAGCATTTGCTGCTTTATCTGGCACTTTTATGTTTTGCAGGCAGCTTCTTTCCTTAAATCGCATGAACCAAACTCTACTAGCCTCAAACTTTTCTTCTGCAGCTTCCTCACCTCACTCAGCCTTCACAGAATTGAAGAGAGTTAGGGTCTTGTTCTGGATTAGGCTTTGGCTTAGGGGAATGTTGTGGCTGATTTGATCTTCTATCCAGACCGCTCAAACTTTCTTCATATCAGCAATAAGGCTGTTTCACTTCCTTATCATTCATGTGGTCACTGGAGTAGTACTTCTAATTCCTTCAAGAACTTTCCTTTTGCATTCACAATTTGGCTGTTGTGTGCAAGAAACCTAGCTTTTGTCCTATCTTTGGCTTTCAAAGTGCCTTCCTCACTAAGCTTAATCATTTCTAGCTTTTGATTTACAGTGAAAGACATGTGACTCTTCCTTTCACATGAACACTTAGAGGCCATTGTAGGGCTATTAATTGGCCTAATTTCAATATTATTGTATTTCAGGATATAGGGAGGCCTGAGAAGAGGGAGACAGGGGAATGACCAGTCAGTGGAGCAGTGAGAACACTTACAACATGTTAAGTTCACTGTTTTATATGGGTGTGGTTTGTCGCACCCCAAAACTATTACAATAGTAACATGGAAGGCCACTGATTACAGATCACCATAACAAATATAATGATAATGAGAAGATTTGAAATGTGAGAATTATGAAAATGTGACATAGAGACCTGAAGTGAGCAAGCTGTTGGAAAAACAATGCCAATATACTTGTTCAGTGCAGTTTTGCCACAAACCTTCAAAGTGTAAAATATGTAATATCTGCAAAATGTGATAAACTGTAATAAAAAGAAGTATGCCTGTACTTACGATAGGTCTTTGCTCCCTATTCATCTCATCTGTTTTTACTCTTATTTTTTTCGTTGTAGTTCTCTTTGTTTTTACTCCTCAAATTCCTTTATTATATTTTAGTCAAATCATTCTCTTCTGAGATTTTTAAAAATAGGGTTTGTTTTTAGATGTTTTGTCTTTTCCTTGGATTTCTTTCCTCAGTTTGGGCAATTGGATTTCAAATTTTTGTGCACATGTGCATGTGTGTGAATTTGTGTGTTATAGCTTTATTAAGAAATAATCCATATACCACATAATTCACCAAAGTATATAGTTCAATGGTTTTTGGGATATTCACAGAATTCTACAACCATCACCACAATCTAAATTATGAACATTTTCATCAGCCCCCCCCAAAAAAGAAAGAAACCCGTGCCCATTATCAGTTACTTTCCATCCATCTCCCCAGCCTAGACAACCAGTAGTCTACTTTCTTTCTTTATAAACATTTGCCTAATCTGGACATTTCATATAAATGGAAACAAAGTATACTCTTTCATGACTGGTTTCTTTCACTCAGCATATTGTTTCAAGGTTAATTCAGGTTTCCTTTTTTTTTTTAGTTTGTGATCCATTTATAGTCTGAGTTGTTGACTCCCTGATTTTTTCCATTACTTAATGTTATTTAGTTTATATTAAAGTCTGTATTATAATTTTTCTCTGCTTTATAATTATTGTTGGTGTTTATTTTCATCTACCTGACAGTTTTGACAGTCACTTTCTACTTTTATCTTGTATCTGAAGGGGAAGCTATGTGAGTTTTCCTGTGTATTTTTTTAAAGTAGCTTTTATTTTTCTGAAACATTAATTAGAGCTAATTATATGTAGATTAGTCTGAGTGGTTTGAATGTCTTACTAAGATTCTTTTTTTGTTTGTTTTTTTTGTTTGTCAAATGATCTTTTATTGAAACATTTTCCTTTGTAGTTAATTAGCCGGGCATTCCAGCGCACCACTGTTGATGTCATCTATGATGTCATGAGGGTGGCGGCCATCTACATTGCAGCACACAGACTGGGCAGGCCCCAGGATCTCTTTAATGGTTCCAGAGAGTTCTCTGGCTAAAGACTGGTGTCGCATCTGTCGGGCAATATTGACAATCTCATCAAAAGTGATATTTCCACTGTGCTTAATGTTTTTCTGCTTCTTTCTGTCTCTGGGTGGTTCCTTGAAGGCTTTGATAATCAGGGCAGAGGCAGAAGGTAGCACTTCAATCTGGGGCTGTCTGTTCTGAACGGTCAGTTTCACCGTAATCCTTAGACCCCTCCAATCACCGGTTGCCCTGGCGATGTCATCACCAACCTTTTTTGGAGACAGACCCAGCGGGCCTATCGTCGGGGCCAGGGCAGACGTGGCACCGACTTCGCCACCGGTGCGCCTCAGGTACCGACTTTGACCTCGTTGGGGTCGAACTTGTCGGCATGGCGGAGGGGCTGGTGTCGGATGAACCCGGATTTGGGACGACCGAGGAAAGTTGCCCCTTTGCCTCCCCAAGCCGAAGGCCAAAAAGTCTTACTAAGATTCTTAGTTCAAGTTTACCATATTCTGATGGCACAGTGAAGTTTCCTTACTAATTGCTGCCTTTTTCCTTTGTGTGTTAAGGGTAGGAGAGATGTAGAATTTCTTCTGATGTTGTGATCTCGCTTTGTTTCTGAAAATTCCACACTGTTTTACGGCATTCTGTCTCTACACTTTTACCACCACACTTCCAAATAATGCCTCCTCTTCACGTGGGCTCCATTATCCCCAAAAGTGTTGCTTTCGCCATTACCTTTGACTCTACACGTGTTCCAGCCTCCCCCTTTTGTCCTCTAATAAATATTGCACTGATCCACAGGTATTCGATATGTTTCAGTTTTTTGTCACTCAGGGTCAGACTTTCTCCTTCAAGGATGATTCTATATGTGTTCTCCTACTGTAAGGACTCTGTTGCTCAATTTGTTTCATCAATAACCTTCCTGTTCCTCTTAGAAAAGGTCAATTGAGTAGGCTATACTAATTTTTGGACGTTTTTTCCCCTTTTATATGTAAACTGCAGTTTTTAGCAAACTGTAACTCCTCATTATACTCTGGCATAGGTTATATATAGTTCACTTTATTTATTTGGAGGTTGTATGGGAAAATTTTAAATTTAGAAGCCAGTTATTATACTATCCAATATTTTCTTAAAAATAGGATAGTTCCAGGGTGCCTGGGTCGCTCAGTCAGCTAAGCGTCCGACTCTTGATTTTGGGTCAGGTCAAGATCTCAGGGTCGTAGGATTGAGCCCCATGTTGGGCTCTGTGCTCAGCATGGGGTCTGCTTGTCCTTCTCCCCCTGCTGCTCCCTTGCACACTCTCTCTCTTAAATAAATAAATAAAAATCTTCAAAAAAATGGGATAGTTCACCTCATTTGTTTTGTTTTGCAAAACTATTAGATTCACTGTGGTAAATAAACTAATCTTACAAACAGTAGTTTTATCTAATTCTTTATGTCATTGCTCTAACATTTGTCCGATTTTACTACCTTAAACAAAAACATAGATTTGGTCTAAATTTCTGAGGTAGAGATTACTGGTACTCATCATTATATCTACTTTCCCTTTTCTTGTACAGAAGAGACTGCATGTTCGGTATTTCTTTTAATTAGGTGGGATCATGTGGGTATTTCTGGTCATTAAAATGTGAGTGGACGAAATGTGTTTTTCTAGGCTAACACAAAAAATAAAGTAAGTAGAGAGTTCTATTCTCTCTTCCCCTGACAGAACAATAATGATAAAACTTCACTTAGTGAAAGGAGAGCCATGACATGGGCGTGGCTTGAATCATGGAGTTTCCACACGGGGGACAGCTTTTGTTGTGAAATACCTGAAATCACACAGAACTTAGAATGAGCAAGAAATGTACTTTTGCTTTGTATAGTCAGTGAAATTTTTGTTGTTGTTGTTGTTCCTACAGCATATGTCTAGAGCAAAAATAAATTTCCAAGTTTCCATGTTTCCATATTTAGGTGGAAAATTATCTTTTTCACCTAACTCAAAAAATCGTTAAACTGGTGAAGTTCTTTAGTGGAAAAAGTTAAAGGAAAGTCCTCATACATAATGCAATTAGGAAACTGAAAGCTTCTTGTATCCTATGGAAAGTTATATTTTTCTATATATAAACTGTCAAATAAAATGACATTCTATTTAAAGTAGAAATCTGCTACTTTAATGAACAACCCACATATTTACATATCAAGTTTGCTGAAAGAAGACATATTAAAAATTGGACATTTGTAAACAATATTAAGACCTTTGCAGACCTTCAAATTTGTGAAATCTAAAATATATAAATCCCCTCATGAAACATTATATTATTTTAATGATCATTTAATTTTTAAAACAGCAAAGTATGAATAATATTAATTTGATTTCAATCGATTTAACTTGGCATTCAGTTGTTTTTCTAGTAAAATTATTTAATTATCATTATTGTAGTTATATTAATTATGAACTTCAGCTGAACTGGCAAAGTTAAAACAGTAATGGTAAATGATTGTGATTGCTGCTGTATCTTACGTGCGTGTGTTCACCACAAATAGCATGAATGTATATTTAGAAACAGATTTTCTTCCCTTACTGAATGGTGCAATTCTAACTGAAATTTATTTTGCCTGTGGCTCATCACTTTGTATTTTCTGCCTTGGTAGGGAATACTTTCTCAGTTTTGTATTCAACTGATGCCTACTTTCCTATTTCACATTATGCAAATTAATATGCTTCCGAAAATTCTTGAACCAATCTTTGCTTATAAAATTGGTTGCTTCAAATGCTGTGCTGGGTCCTTCAGCACCTGTGGTTACATGGAAACTTTTTTTTTTTTTTTACAGGCTTCTTCTTCCCAAATTATATTTGCATCTAGAATTACATGTTTCCAGTGCACATCTTCATACTACACATTAATTATCTTCTTAACTGTCAAAAGTTATTATCTTTTAAGCTATGAACAACTCTGTATAGGCTGGAACATTTTATAAAATAATTTACATCTATTTCTAGACAGAGTTATCTGAAATAACTATGTAGTTATCTGAGTCACAACCAGATTTATCAAAACCTATATTCTATATTTTATATATCTATATACCTATGTTCCAGTTAAGGAGCTTTGCTTTTATAGTTTAATTTTCATATCTTGCAAGAAGCATTATCCTGCTTTTCTAGGTGATTTTCAAAAGCACATGTTCTTATTTATTATTTTTTTACTTTTAACCCAGGGTACTAGATATGGAACGCATAGTTGAAATGAGCAAAGCTCAACTTAAACACAGAAGCTGTTCAGTTTTACTCATTAGTTAAGTGAAACAATCCTATAATAGAAACTCTACAAAAATTACAAATAAATATCACATCATAAACACACATGAGCGCATCATAGAATTCTTTGGTCTCTGCTCAGTACTGAAACACTTGCTTTTAATTTCCCTGAATACTAAGAATGTACTGTATTTAATGTATTCTTGTAATACTAGTTGGATAGACTTCAAATTACTCTCATACCTCCAGCAGGGAGGGAGATGCAGGTCGGCACTCATTTCTGTTCCTTAACTCCAGGTCACACCAATAGAAGCTGGTGTCTTTTACCTATTTTGCATATTTGTTATACATAAAGAAAAGGAAACACAATAATTACTTAAAGATGAAACCATTTTACTGAAACAGCAAAGGTGCTACCAATTTTTAATTCATTTGGAATCTATATTAGTAAATACTGATTTAAAAAGTGAACTACTATTCTACCCCAAAATTTGATCACTAAATGATCAAATGCTAAAGAGCTAATATAGAATATATTTGAAACTGTTCTTTTGTGGTCAAATGTTTCCAAACACATTTAATTAGACTATTTTTCTCTGTCTCATATAAGTAAATAATATCCAAAGAAGTGAATCAAACCCTCCTGATGAGGCTTCTAATTATTTTTTTCTTGCGCAGGGCAGTCAGTGAGCTAAGCACCCTACATTCTGAAATTCTTCTTCAGAATATAATACGCTAACAATCCCATTTGCCACTTACTATAGTCAGAACATTTGTAAAAGTCTGTAAATATATAAATGAATGTGTTCCTGAGTATTTTTGTCATTCCCATAACTTGTCCCTGAGATTTGAGTGTCAATTTTTTAGCAATATATTATTCAATCATACAGGTTTGTTTCTTGCCAAAGCCACCAAACTCATATCACGATTATCTCAGAACCTTTATAAATATTTAGATGTTTGCCTGATTTCTTATGTTTTGTTTTTTTTTTTTTTTTATACAGCATTTGGGAGTTGTTTTGCAATATTTTACAAGTGCCCTCAACGGATTAGTCTAAGTACCAACGTTTGAGAAACTGCTCCAAACAAAATTCTAACCATTTAAATACCATACCAGGATTCAGAAGAAACAGAATCAGTACAACTAGGCATTTGAAGTTTTGTCTTCAAGTGTCTATCTTAGATCCCCTTTTTTCCTTTTTTCCACGGGCCACCTGCTTTGGAGTTTGAGAGTTTGGCAGTTTGATCATCCCATACTCAGGTAAGAGGCTTGGGTAGAGCCCAGAATCTTCATATATAACAGCTTCCCTAAGTGAATCCTTATGACTGAAGTCTTTCAATAATGGGTAGAGGGTAATTTTCACTTATTATTAAGTGAATAGTTTGACTTCTTATTATTCCTAGTATCTCCCTCAATTTCTCAAGGCAGATGATTTTCATTATCCTCTATCACACCTCACACTTGACTATGTTCCCCACCCAATAATAAGATGGAAAACATGCCACAAAACTAATTCTGGAGACTGTCAAAGGCTACAGAAATTAAAAGGGTGAATCCTTTCTCGGATTTACAAGTGCTCTTTCTCCCAGTAAAGAAAGGAAAAGAGGAAGGAAAAGAGAAGGGAAATAAACACACACTTTCATATACCATCTCCTTCACATATTTAATCCTCTGCATAACCCACTCTTTATTAACCATGATTTGCATTTGAGAAAATGGAGTCCCCAAGAGTATAAATAACTTGACTAGGTTCATGAAGCCAATAAATGGCAGAAGTGGGATACTAATTGAGATCTTTCTGATGCCAAGTCCCACGAACTATTTTACACTATGCTACTAAAAAAAGTATGGTAATAATAGTGAAAGAAGGGAATCTTCTTATGTAATGCTAGAATGGATTTATTATTTGATCATTTTCTTGGTAAGACTTGTGCTGCAAATATCTGGAATTTTGTTTAATACCACATTAAAAACTGCAGCTGTTTTATTTTTAAAATATATCTCCACTTTTAGATACCATGTCCTAAAAATTATTTTATTACTGAGGTATAGTCTCCATTACTTAGAATATTGAAGTAAGAATTTTAGTATTTTAGGAAAATACAAGGTTAGTCATATATCAGGAAAATTTGGAAAGATGAATTTGAAGGGAAAG